TCTTAATTATAGGTATTCACACTGTAAATGACTTAGCTGTTTACAAAAGATCAAATCTATTCTTTTTCCATTGACCTTGAATATTTATAGGTGATATAAGTTCATTATGTAATAAGCTGTGAACTTTTACTATGTTCTTACTATACAGGCGTTTGCATCCAACTACACTACATTTTTTTGCCATTATTGGCTATTTAATGTCATAATCCAAGTTGATCTGTTCAAAATGCTTCAATTTTTCAGTATTTCACAGTATTTGAGTTGTGGCATGTCCTTGTAACTGGAGTTAACCACACTTCATTTACGATAAAAGCAAATAAGACGAAAAGACTCTCGACTTCTCTGTCTGGTCCGTTGCGAGGTCCTCGAATAGGTGGCCGCACAATATGCACTCACCGTCAGTGGTCTTGGGATTTCGGCCCAAGTGACCTCGTAGTTCGTCTCGTAGGCCGTCCCAGTTAGAGCAGTTTAAGATGATGTGGTCCGCTTTGTCTGAGCCACTCTGGCAGTGCATGCAGCAGTATCTAAGGGCGCATTCCACGCGGCACAGCTAACAATGAAAGCACCCGTGTCCGGTTACCACTTGCGTCAGGTGGTATTATCAATGGATCTTAGGGGCGTCCTATTCTTCTATCTTGCGATGTTCAGAATTAGATGACTGGTCCATGACGCCTTGGTGGATTCTGTCTATTTCCTTTTCCATTCGGCGATGGTGACCATCCTCTCCTCTTTCTTGATCTTGCATATCGAAAGTGGAGGGTTACCCGATTTCCACAGAAAAAACGTTTATGACATTATTATTTTTTCACATTATTTTTACTTTCTTAACACGTTGATGGACAGTTTTGTGGCCGCAGTGGAAAAAAAACGATCTTTAAAACGTCAATTTTAGTACTGCTGTAGGGTTTTATGCTATAGGGCAGTGTAAAATTGTCCACTGAGATGTCGGGGGACACAATAATCTATCCCCTCATAAGACACCATTGAAAATATCACTGCTATTTAAGTGATGACAATTTTTGGAAGGTTTTTATGATACTGCTATAGCAGTAATATTTAAGTGGTCTGTGCGAATATAACGCAAAAAGAACAACTGTTTAGCACATTTTTAGTGTCGCACTATTTAAATTTATATATTTGTTATAATGGTCAAACTTTATTTTTTTTTTAGAATACTCGATGATTGAGAAGGTCGCAGGTAGTTCGCCGAAAGTCACGGGTTCCCATGGACTCGAACTGTATGCATGCTGGCGGCTGCCAATAGACAGCTCGAGTGCCTTAAGTACGCACACGACCGGGGCTGTCCATGGGATGAGTCGGTATGTGAGTACGCCGCGGCCAACGGCAACCTGGAGTGCCTAAAGTACGACCGGGAAAAGGGTTGTCCATGGGACTTGTACGCGTGTGAAAAAGCGGCCAGAAGTAGGCACTTGTGTGTCGGGCGTACCTTAATGACAACAGCTGCCTTTGGGACAATGTCCACGTGTGACGAGGCATCGTTAAACGGTTACGGCCAATGTCTTGGAATACGCGCTGGAAAACGGTTGCGAGTAGGACGGACGCATTCCATGGTAATATTATCTCAATGTATTATCATGATAACCAAAAATTCATTGTCTATCTTGGTTGAAATCGAAATTTTGTATTTTTTCATTTTCCTTCAGGTGAAATCGGGTTATACAACTAAAGTTGGAGTTCATCCGAAGTTAACAGCCTCAAAAAATGACTAGACCGTTTTCAATAAAAGTGTACAGTGTAACCTTAGTGTAAATTTTAGTATATTGCAGTTGTTCATGATTTAGACATTTTATATAGCATACAATAAGACGTAATAGTTGAAATTAGATAACAAAAGTTTGAATAGACCCTGGTCTGCCTGTATAATACTTGCTTTGGAGTTCTCATTTTTTTAGAGATTTAGAGACCATAGAAATCGACATTCAACATTGTTGTATTGATTTGTTGAGATTTTTAAAAATTGAGACAAAATCAAATATTATGAATGACAATATTGATTTAAACTATGACGGTAAGTCTAAATATAGCGTAGATAAATGATATGGTCTGTGCGAATATAACGCAAAAAGAACGACTGTTTAGCACATTTTTAGTGTCGCACTATTTACCCTTTTTTACATAAATCAACCACTGATCCTTATTAATTGATGTTTAAATCAAAAGTTAAATACCACGCGGGTCAATCACCTTCATATCCGAGCCTGCAGTATACATACGATATCGATAGATAGTTAATTAACTATTTTATTTTTTGTAACCAAGAGCAACCTTATAACAAACGAAATACAATTAATATATTATTTTTTGGCCGAACCTGTTGTATTTTTTTCATTCTGATTTACCTACTTTAGATTTAATTAAAAGGTTTTTTTCATACAAATTTTTTCTACGGCCACAAAAAAAAAAAAATAATTAGATAAATAAGGTGATGCGTTTACAACCATTTGTTGCCTTTGAATTTTATTCAAGTATAAGATAAAAGAATGACAATCCAAAAAAAAACCTTTTCTATGTAAATTGGTCCACAAGTACTTTTTAGATGTATTTAAAAACTATTATTGAACGTCTATAGTATTCTTCAATATTTTTAGATGGTGTATTACAAGAGGCAACTTCTTGTGCTTCTAAAAATAATTGTTTAAATTCATTGTCGGCATTACTTCTAAGTCGTCGGAGAATAGACACTACACTTTCTACTTGGTTAACTGCAGTTGATAGATCTATATCTGTCGTTTGAAGTATTTTACTTATTGGTAAAGTATAAGCTAATAATTTTTCTCATAACAAAGTAATGAAACAATAAATGTAGATTGACGAATACCATTTAAAAGTAAAAATGCACCTGATGAAGAGTCTTTACAGTTCCGCGATTGAATTTCTTCTAACGCCGCCACTACAGGTAATAAAAGTTGATTAAATACTATTATTGAATCGTGTCGTTCAACCCATCTAGTTGGACATAGTTGAACAAGTTTAATTTTATTAATATCAGGAACTAAGAGTTGAATTTGATTTTTTAAAATAATTTGAAGTTTTGGTGTATTAAAAAACGTGTATACTTTTTCTATAACACCAAAACTATTCCTAATAGGTACTACATCACCAGCATTAGACAAAGCCAAATTTAAGCTGTGTGAAACACAATGTACATAGAGTGCAGTTGGATATTGTTCTATTATAAATATTAAATTTGCCACTCATCGCTGCAGCCCCATCGTAGCCTTGTCCACGTAAATAATTTATATTAATACCTACCACATGAATTCAATGTTGTTAAAAGTACATCTGCTAAATTTTGACCCGAAGTTGATTCTACTGGTACAAATTTTAAAAAATTTTCAACTATTTTAAAATTGTTTACATCGGTTAATTCAATATATCTTATACACAATGCGAATTGTTCAATAGAGGAAATATCAGACGTTTCGTCAGCGAGTATAGTAAAACATTTAGAAAAGCTATATTTTAGAAAAACCCCATATGATAAAAAAATTGCCCGGAAATGGTTCTGTATTGGTAATGAGCTTAAAGCAATGTACTGTCCATTTTGTATTGCTTTTAGTTCATCTGCTACCATGTTTTCTAAGGGTTGTAATAACTTTAAACATATTTATGAAGTTGTTAAAATACACGAAGATTCTTTAACACACAGACGCTCTGTAGAAGCGTTTATTCAATCCACTAACGAAAAATCCATTGAATTTGGTATTAATAACAATTTAATGACATTAAAGAAAAATCAAATTCTAGAAAATATCCATGTTATAAACGAAATATTTGAAATTATAAAATTACTTGGTCGTCAAAATTTACCATTTAGAGGTTCTAAAAATTCTGAAAGCTTATACAAATGGAATGATGAAGACAATCTAAATAAAGGAATTTTTTTGGAGTTGGTACAGTTTACTGCTAAACGAGATGCTACACTGTACAAACATTTGAATACTGCCATAGAAAATAGCAAACACAGAAAAGCAAATTTGGAAAAGAAATCATTGGTTTCTTGTGGTAGGGGTTCACTTGTAACTTTACTGTCTAAAAATACAGCGAATAAAGTTATTCTATCTATTGTGAAGTCAATAAGAGATAAAATTAAATTGGAATTAGGTGAACAACATTTTAGTTTGCAGATTGATAGTACACAAGATGTTAGTGTTGTAGATCAGGCAGCAGTGTGCATCCGGTATATTTATGAAGGAGAAGTAAAAGAAAGGCTATTAGCCTTATTAAAAGTGGTAGATTCTTCTGGAAATGGCTATTATAATATGTTAAAACAACTTTTTTCTGAACATTCGATTAAGTTCAACAATATCATTGGTGAATTATTTGATGGAGCAGCAAACATGAGAGGGGAGTACTCTGGTCTAAATCCAAAATTAAAAACCAAGAAAACCCAAAAGCCATTTATATATGGTGTTACAGTCATTTACTCAATTTATGCATATGTGATACTTGTAAAAGTTTGGATGCTAAGAATTTATTTGGATTTTTGAATCGATTATCAACATTTTTTAGTGAATCATATAAACGTATGCTTGTTTGGTTACAAGAAATTAATTCAAGTTTGGGTTCAAATAAATTAAAAAAATTTCAAAAAATAGGGGAAAATAATACACGATGGTGGCCTCGAGAAAAAGAGTTGTATTGGATATTTGATGGAGATCAGTGTCTTTTTCCAATCTTTATTTGTGATTTACATCATATTTCCATTTCTAGTAACTTTGAACCTAAAGTTTGTTTTGAAGCATCTTCTTTATAACATGTTTTATGTAACTTTAAAATAATTCTTACGGCTCATTTATTTTTGAATATCTTTAAAATTGTTGGACCAACTTCTCGTTACCTTCAGACAAAAGGTATGGATTTATTATCAGATTGGGGTATGATAGATTCTAAAACAAGAAATTGGACGGCTAAGTTTTGACTGTATTTTAAACAAATCTATACATTTTTCGAATAATATTAATGATTTACTTAGTAGTATGAATCTCCCTGATGATATATTAGTTTCAAGTACGTTTCCTGTTACAAGGAAAAGCAGAAAAAAGAGAATGTATTATGAAATATGCGAAGATGAATCACCAGAATTACCACTAGACAAGTTTAGAGTAGATCAAACAATAGTTGACCAGATAACTATAAGTTTAAATGAACGTTTTACTGACAACAATAAATTGATAGCAGATGTTCAGTACTTATTACCTAAAAATTTTAAACTAATTGAACAAATGCCAAATACTGCATTAAAACATTTGGCAAATTTAGCAAATTTAGAACACATACAACTTGGTTTAGAACTTAAAAACTTTTCTAAAGTTTATCCATAGATAAACATGTCTACAATAGATAAAACTAAACAAATATACCATCAGCTTGATACTGAATCAGATGAAAATACAGATGACAATGAATAGAATATGTATGAGAATACAGCATTTCCTTGTAAGTAAAATTAAAATAAAAAACGTTTAAAAAGTAGTGTTAATAATTATAATAATGTATAAAAGTTTTTCGATATAGACATTTATTTCCACTTATTAATTATGATTATTATTATGCTGTGCATTTGAATTAAAGTGCATTTTATTTTGGTAATAGTGAAACTTAGTTTTGTAAGTACATAATTTGAATTATGTAATTACGCATTGTCGGACTGGTTCAAAAAGGCCCAGTCTGCGATTTGAAAAAAGGGCCCAGCCAACAGGAAATGGCAAATGTTTTGATCAGCCCAAAAAAAAACTCGCTCTCAATCAAATTTTCATGTACATAGTCACATAGAACATTTTTTTTTCAATACAATTTCTATCCTTCATATTTATCATACAGCACAAATAACTAAAAACAACTGAAATTCAATCATTCGATATATTAACTGGTATTACTATACTTTAAATATAAATGGTATATTAGGCATATTTTCAAATGCTAAGACATTTTCTGCAGGTCGTTAGTAAATTGATGACAAGAGACCTATCTGAGGTTTTTTATTATCAGACAGGGGAAATCCCTCCTATTCAACCCCCCAATTACGCCACTGGGGTATACTGGCTACATCACGTTCTGTGACATCAAACATTATAAAGAAAAACGCTGATTCAAATTGTGTCAAACTGTGCACTAGTACAATACTTATCCAAAATATAATAATTCAGTTAAAAACAGTTATAATGCGAAATAATACCAAGTCATACGCATACGCCCGTATAAATATAATATAATATTATTTAAGATCATGTCAGAGCACTATTTGTTTCATCTCTCTGGCAAACGCTCAACATAGGCATAACGCATTACGCAGAATCATTTTTTCTATGTTTTGCAGTAATCTTAGAGTAAAATCACCTATTACAAATGAGTTAGAGAATAATATTTTTGAAGGAGTGACATATCGATTTATCTAAATATTTTAATTGCCAGGTAAAAATGCGTGAAAATTTAATACAAGGCTCTTGATATATTGTTTCAAACACAGATGAAATATATTATTAAAAACCAATATCACAATTTTTTTTTCTAAGTATATAAAGTTTAAATATGGATAAAGTATAATAAAATGTGCAAATTATTTTGAGCTTCTTATTTTGTTGTAATTCAAAAACAAATAACTGGCAATTTCAAATTTAAATTTTATTAGTTTTATTTCTATAAATTCAATAAAGTTTCTTAATTGTTGGGCCAAAAAGCACGAAAATTTGATACAAGGCTCCTGATATTTTGGTACAATATTAAATTGAAAAATATTAAAAATACATATGTCCACATAGTTCGCGCGATGTTCACATTTATGTTTCAGTACATTTTGTGTCATATTAAATAAAGTTAAATATATTAAAATGTCAAACAGTATATTGTTTTTAATGTTCAAAATACAACACTATCTACCAGAAAATATACTGAAGTTTAAATTGAAGTATTTTTTCAACTGCTTTTTGTGTATATATTATACTTGTCTATTATTAAAATGATAATTGTTTCCCAGATCAAGAAAATGTTTTCTCTACATAAGTTACCCTACTATTTTTGCGATGAAGAAGAAAGAACATTTTATGACGATTTAGAGACCATAGAAATCGACATTCAACATTGTTGTATTGATTTGTTGAGATTTTTAAAAATTGAGACAAAATCAAATATTATGAATGACAATATTGATTTAAACTATGACGGTAAGTCTAAAGATAGCGTAGATAAATGATATGGTCTGTGCGAATATAACGCAAAAAGAACGACTGTTTAGCACATTTTTAATGTCGCACTATTTACCCTTTTTTACATAAATCAACCAAAGATCCTTATTAATTGATGTTTAAATCAAAAGTTAAATACCACCCGGGTCAATCACTTTCATATCTCTTTATCCGAGCCTGCAGTATACATACGATATCGATCGATCGTATTGGGGCAAATAATAATAATGCTCGTGAATGAGGGTAGGGATTTTGAGCTCTGAAAGTATTTATTCAAATAGTAGTGCCAGGTCGTTTGGAAGATTTCTCCAAATATGTTGTTTAATATATTTGTTATAATGGTCAAACTTTATTTTTTTTTTAGAATACTCGATGATTGAGAAGGTCACAGGTAGTTCGATGAAAGTCACGGGTTCCCATGGACGTGAACCGTATGCATGCTGGCGGCTGCCAATAGACAGCTCGAGTGCCTTAAGTACGCACACGACCGGGGCTGTCCATGGGACGAGTCGGTATGTGAGTACGCCACGGCCAACAGCAACCTGGAGTGCCTTAGGTACGCCCGAGAAAAGGGTTGTCCATGGGACTTGTACGCGTGTGAAAAAACGGCCAGAAGTAGGCAACTTGTGTGCCTGGCGTACCTTAAAGAGAACGGCTGCCTTTTTGACATGTCCACGTGTGACGAGGCAGCGTCAAACGGGCACGGCCAATGTCTGGAAAACGGTTGCGAGTAGGACGGACGCATTCCATGGTAATATTATCTCAATGTATTATCATGATAACCAAAAATTCATTGTCTATCCTGGTTGAAATCGAAATTTTGTATTTTTTCATTTTAATTCAGCTGAAATCGGGTTATGCAACTAAAGTTGGAGTTCATCCGAAGTTAACAGCCTCAGAAAATGACTAGACGGTTTTCAATAAAAGTGTACAGTGTAACCTTAGTGTAAATTTTAGTATATTGCAGTTGTTCATGATTTAGACATTTTATATAGCATACAATAAGACGTAATAGTTGAAATTAGATAACAAAAGTTTGAATAGACCCTGGTCTGCCTGTATAATACTTGCTTTGGAGTTCTCATTTTTTTAGAGATTTAGAGACCATAGAAATCGACATTCAACATTGTTGTATTGATTTGTTGAGATTTTTAAAAATTGAGACAAAATCAAATATTATGAATGACAATATTGATTTAAACTATGACGGTAAGTCTAAATATAGCGTAGATAAATGATATGGTCTGTGCGAATATAACGCAAAAAGAACGACTGTTTAGCACATTTTTAGTGTCGCACTATTTACCCTTTTTTACATAAATCAACCACTGATCCTTATTAATTGATGTTTAAATCAAAAGTTAAATACCACGCGGGTCAATCACCTTCATATCCGAGCCTGCAGTATACATACGATATCGATAGATAGTTATTTAACTATTTTTTTTTTTTTTCAACAAGTGTATACTCTCAATACAATATAATTATGACTGCCATTTTACTTGCAAAATGTTGGTCCACGCCAGAGGTTTAAATGAGTTCAATCGTCTTCTAAAGGTATTGGTATACACTATTAATTAATGTGACCAATGTTTATCAACAAGTGTATACTCTCAATACAATATAATTATGACTGCCATTTTACTTGCAGAATTTTGGTCCACGATAGAGGTTCAATCGTCTTCTAAAGGTATTGGTATACACTATTACTTAATGCGACCAATTTTTAAACAAATTAGTAGAAAATAACTATTAGGCTTGTGTGAATAACCTTGTAAAATATTACTACATTAAAGTTTTAAAGTCAAAAAGTTATACATTTTATAATTTTATTAACATAAACCAACAAAAACCCATAAATGCAAATATTTATTAAGTAAATTATTGAATTCTATGAAATTAGGTATTACTCATAAGTCATGAATCAGGAATTAAAGTAAAATAATGTTAAATACATTAGCAAAATAGCAAATCTAGATATAAGTATCTAAAATATTCTGATTTGTTCCACTTTTCATTATGATATCATTATGGAGAATATGATTTAATAAAAACAATGATGTCACATTAGAAAACTTAGGAAATTAAGAATACACTTAGATTTGTGATGAAAAAGCTAATTTGAAATTTGAAATCCTAGATATGTATAAATGAACAATGACTTTAGATAAAGATATTTAGGTGCTGAAATAATTTGAATTTTTCCATTAAAGTAAAAATATATCATCAGACACAACAACGGCACAATATGAATAATATGGAGAATATTATTTAGTAAAAAAATGTTGTCATGTTTGAAATCTTAGGAACCATGACTTTTAGAGAAATTAAATGTTGATTTTTCATAATAATTTACCATACATAGAATTGCAATGAAAAAGCTAATTTGAAATTTGAAATCCTAGATAGGTACAATAATGAATAATGGCTTTTAGATAAATTGAAGAATAATTTTATTGAGAATAATGACGACTATGAAATTTAAAAATGTCTTATTCAAAATGGTTCAACTTGTCTACATTTCAAGAATTTAAAAAATGTTTTAATTCTTAAAAAGTAAACATTTTTCTTCAACTGTTTGAAGAAAATGGATCATATCCAATAAAACAGTTTTAATTTAAATCAATGGGCTAAATAAAAATTAAGTTAACTCATGAGTCAGGAATCGAAGTAAAATAATATTAAATACATTAGTATTATATAGATATTTAGGTGCTGAAATGAACTGAATTGTGCCACTTAAATACTTAATATAACACTGTATAAGGTATAATGTATTGATAATAGATAAGTAAATGTATTAACATTACCACTCAGAAAATAAAACTGGATTAAGCATTTTATATTATGTTATTCTTAGATATCTATCTTGCGTAGGTACGTAAATTGTTATACTAACATAATTAAATACGACTGAAGGCATTTACAAATTGATAAATAATCAAACTATACATATCCTCAAATTTTAACTAATGATGGTGATGAATACAAATATAATTTTTCTATGATACAAACAAGTACCTTCTTAGAGTAAATAGAGTTCTTAGAGTCTTCTGATGTCAGTTTAAAATAAATGCAAACATTTCCAGACGATAACAACCAGTTGACGAAAATTCAAACGCACTAACTACAATGACTTAAAAATATCAACCAGATTGAAATAATGAAATATTTAGATATTATTTATTTGAATTTATATTTAATTTAACTTTTAAGTTTAAAGCATTTTCGTGGTTTTAAGTGTTTTAACTGTCATATAAAAATTATGAAGTAAAAATTGACAAGCGTTATCAATTATCATAGAGATAGCACACGTGCACACGATTTATAGACCTAACCTTGGAGCTTGTATAGATTAGTATATCAAAGATAGGTACTATCACTGAGTAGCGCTATGACAATACTACATACTATACCTAGGTATACACGTTACATTGGTAAACATCAAATAATTTTAAGGTTATAAAATATAATATAATTTATCATTGATAAAATTATATGAAAGTTATAATATCAAACCTTAGATTATATCTGAGTATCAAACGGTATACTGTAGTACTTTGAACTGACTACTGTATACTGTAATAAATTGATAATTCGATACCCGGATTATTAAGGTCGTACAACGGAAGCACTTTTAGTATTATTCACTGTTGACATTTTATAAATTAACACCAATATTCAGATGTCGATAGCTCCTTCAATTATTATCACATAAATGTAAATGAACCGTCAAAATTCATTAAAAATTAAACTGTGCACGAATCATATTTCAAAAATATAGGTTCCCATTTGAATTTTAATAGTTGACCCTCAAACCTCCCCATCCTAATTAATAAAAAAAATATTTAATATCAAATTAATTTAGATTATATGATTCAAAACAGTTTTCACATGAGTCATTTTCCCCTAATTTAAATATATCATGCTGAAATCTGCTGTCACTTGAAATTTGGAACACCCTGTATATATTATTCTAATTCATTAATTAATTATACATTTCAAAATTACATGTACTAGATTTATTACATATTTTCTTCCTGTACAACACAGTATGTGTGTAATCAAATCATTACTGTACGAAGAACAACTTCACCAAAGAGTGTAAATGTCCACGGCATTTTTTTGTGATGTATTAAAAACACCTCCAAATAATTTTTTCTGTTGTTTCACGTTCTTTTTGAAATAAGAAAGATTTATATTTTAATATTATTCCTCCTTTTTGGCTGGTAATATACTCCATAATGCAAGCTGTGTGCCGTGTTATATTGTCAAACGGATAGTGTCGTATACTGTCTGTACGAAGCAAACCAATTAATGTTATCTAGTAACTAATCTTGCAAATAATAAAATATATTGCGATAATAATGACGCGCGAGATTATTGATGTGCTATGAAATGAACCGCGACGTTACTTCCGCGACATTATTTTTTTTTTTTTTTTTTTTTTTTATTAATCAGAAAAATAATATTTAAGAAGATTACATATTAAATAAAACCTTAAATTGATTTATCTTTCTCCTGTAAGCTTACGCGTATTACCGCGACGTTACTTCCGCGATATTATTACCGCGACAATATTGTCGCGATAATTTGACGGTACACCTTTCGATACTATCTACTTTCTCTAGATGATTTCTAACTCTTTCTTTGTTGTAATTCGGCTTTTTATACTCGTTTTTCTTCCCAAAAATGAACTTTCTCTTCTAACTTCATACATTTTTTTTCTGAATAACCTGACTTCAGAATGACTAAGATGCTCTGATTTTGGGCATTTGCATAGTTCTTGTCGTATAAGTTTCTTTGGCTTAACGTTAAAATCGCTTGCTTCGCTCTTTAAAAGAGACATCACTGTTTAGTGATGGTTTCTTCAACTAATTCATCATGACTATTTTCACCATTTATTGAAATTACTGTTTTTAAATTGGCAGTTAACTTAACAGTGAGAGTGTGATTACGATTCATGCAACGAAAACTTTAGTTGTTTCTTTGTTTTCTCTAAACTCACTAAATTTACAACTATTAATCGCAACACACTTTTATAAACATCAAAAATGTTCACGTCCATAATTACAAAGATTAAAATAATCTAGCCGATTGAAAATAAAAAAAGGAACTGAACATTAAAACATTGAAACATATGTCCTTGTAACTGGAGTTAACCGAACTTAATTCACAATAAAAGCATATAAAACTAAAAACCTTCCCTGTCTGGACCGTTTGGAGATCCTCGAAGATGCACTCACCGTCAGTGGTCTTGGGATTTCGGCCCAAGTGACCTCGTAGTTCGTCTCGTAGGCCGTCCCAGTTAGAGCGGTTTAAGATGATGTGGTCCGCTTTGTCTGAGCCACTCTGGCAGTGCATGCAGCAGTATCTAAGGGCGCATTCCACGCGGCACAGCTAACAATGAAAGCACCCGTGTCCGGTTACCACTTGCGTCAGGTGGTATTATCAATGGATCTTAGGGGCGTCCTATTCTTCTATCTTGCGATGTTCAGAATTAGATGACTGGTCCATGACGCCTTGGTGGATTCTGTCTATTTCCTTTTCCATTCGGCGATGGTGACCATCCTCTCCTCTTTCTTGATCTTGCATATCGAAAGTGGAGGGTTACCCGATTTCCACAGAAAAAACGTTTATGACATTATTATTTTTTCACATTGTTTTTACTTTCTTAACACGTTGATGGACAGTTTTGTGGCCGCAGTGGAAAAACAAACGATCTTTAAAACGTCAATTTTAGTACTGCTGTAGGGTTTTATGCTATAGGGCAGTGTAAAATTGTCCACTGAGATGTCGGGGGACACAAT